AGGCCTTCAATTATTAGCGCTAGTCTCGACAGTGTGCCTTCTGCATAAAATTAAGGAAATGATGGAGCAATGATAAAACAAGCAAAAGGAAGAAATTGAAGACTTCCGCGCGGCGGCAATGCTTGTGGACGCGTTAAAAGCCATTTCGAATATAAGAACTACAGCAACAACCATGGATGTGATTGAGTGGCGCTTGCTGTTTCACTTGAACCAGGAATTGTGACGAAAAGAGCATAAAAGAATTGTGATTATCTTCAGCGGGGCAACATATCATCTCTGCCGCGATGAAGCCGAACTTGTGGTGTTATTGTTCCTTCTAAAGACGAGGGCTTAATTTTGCAGCCAGAGAAAGGTTCGGATCAAGGGTATCGAAACTGTTTTTGAGTACGTGGTATACCCAACGATAAAAATCGATTATGTAATACCAAGAATGCATTCTAGGTACGAAGTGTGAGCAAGAATCTGCTCCTAATTTTCAATGTTGACAATGACGGGCAGTTCTAAGTAAAGTTTTATGTAACAAAAAATTAAGTTGCTCGAAAATTTCCGTTCAACTAATTGCTTTTGCAGAACTAGTCGATGGACCATACTTTCTCAGTACTCAATAAAATCTGCAAATACTGCATCACGAACACGATGTGAAGGTCTATACTTGCTCATTAGTCTCGAACCAATAGATTCTCTCTACAAGATGTTGCAATTCGGATAATCAAGGGTGTCAACAGGCCATCCTAACATGATGATTCAAGTATTTGGCGTGGCTATCAAGATGGAAAAATGATTCAAAATCGTTCCTTCGCAACCAAAACAAGCGCCACTATGAATTTTCTAAACTCTTCATGCTGACAGTTGCGGTCCCATGGAAGCTGAATCACCGAGCCGGAGCAAAGTACCTGCCAGCCCGTAGACGAAGGTAGTATATGTATCAAGGGATTATATTTGCAGTCTTAATAAGACAGCGAAAGGGGTAATAAAAAGTACGTCTTCGCGGTGCACAGACACAATTTGACAAGAAGTTTGCTCGACAAGATGGAGATCAAGAATTTTTAGTATTATAGCTTTATTCTTTCTACGAGTACCCCTGAAATCGACCATCAAGCAAAGGTCGCAAATGTGCAGCTAAAATTGGCACCGCATATCGCGCTATTTGGAATAACGCGACAGTTAGTCGCAGCATGCTGCATCACGCTAAGTTATATAAGCGCTTTAGGCAAAATTAGCAAAAGCAGAGATTTGGAATAAGAGCCATTTACCATCGCCAAGGTTCTATGTTATAAGGCTGTTCAACAATCGTTGACAACATTCAGTCAAATTTGAAGGACGTGCATGTATATTGTGCGTATATGCAAAATCCGGAATAAAGGTGACTTAAGTGGACCTTAAGGCACATGAATTTTCATCTTTGGGGTAAGAGGAAGCTTTATAAGGCCTACTGTGTCGATGACATCGAGGCGGGACAACTGATGATCACTCGTGACGTCAACTTTGACGAATAAACATCAGGATTCTCGACGACACTTTTGCAGGAATGTTCATTTAAGATACTACTCTGGACATCGAAGCCATAGTTCAGCGACAAAACTCGTCAAACGAACTGTTCGCACGCGCGTAAGCGTATCGGTCGATATATCGATAAAATATGCAAAATCAGCGTCAACTCCTGGTCAACGCGGATATGCAACCGAAGAAGTAAGTACAACAATCTATTCTGTACATCATCGAGTATAAAAAAGGCAAAGTTCAAGTTAAATATGAAGGAGAATAAGCTTACTATGACAATGACGAATGCTATAATCATCTGCCTTCTGGAGAGCTAGTGCTAAAGCAGTATATTACTACGCCTTTTCTGAGCCATCAACGTTTCAAGACGCTGTCGGGGGACTGGATCAAATTTACTGGCTCGATGCAATCTGTGCGATGTTAGGCTCGATGCAAGTTCGTAGCGCCTTTCAAGCTGACAAACGTTCAACAGAAAAGCATGCGTTTGGTACCATTTAGAGTTTCAAGATTAAGCGCAAAGCCGACAGATCGATCACAACTTTCAAGGAACGAATAGTGGCAAAAGAGTTTAAGAGAAATCACGGTGTCGACAATACAGAGACGTTCTCTCTCACCCATCCTTAAGTGTAATGCTTCGCATGGTGATCGGCTTGAATAAATACTTTGGCTGGTCATTGGATAAACTTGATGTTGTAATATTTTTTCTCACGGATGTCATGAGCAAATGCGTGTATCGTGCAGTATCACAACTGATGAAAAAGTGAAGAAGAACACAACTGCGTGAAGTTGTTGCGTGCCATCTACGGACTCAAGAAAGTTTCACATGTATAAAGGGATGCCTTTGACGAATTCGCAGCTCCATTGAAATCTTATCGTATGACATTTATCCTTGCCTGTCATCAAGTTTGCAAATAAAAATCGTGCACTTCTAATTGTGTTTGTGGATGATGTAATAATTGCGGGCAGCACTAACAAACTCATCGCGTGTTCCAGGAATGGCTAATAGAAGCGATTAGAGAATATGGACAGTGGCAAATAGGCATTCGTTTTTGGGCATTAAACTATTGCCAACGATAACTGAAGGGTGCAGATGTCGGCGACGCTACGCTGATGACATTATTAAGCGCTTTAAAATGCACGAATGCAAAGCTGTGATGTATCCAACTGAAATCAGCTCTCGACTTAAACCAAGTGAATCTTTAACTTGTGTTTATTCTCCATCATGTGAGGCCGTTCATGCCCTCATACATTCTATTCGACCGCGACACGACCGGACATTGCCTATGCTGCTGGCCATATGTCATGCGTTTTGAAAAGCCCCTAAGGCGAGCACTGAATTAGCGGCTTAGCGAATTCTTCGCTTCCTACAAGAACGAAGCCGAATGACATTCGCTTCAACTAGATAACACGTTTGACGTCCGGGGAATGAATAAATGCCGAATGGTCCGGGGAATAAGTTAAGTGCAAGAAAAATTAAGGCTATGACTCTGTGATGATGGGAGCTTTCATGAGCTATGGAAGCAAGAAGCAATCAAGTGTGTTTCTCTCGAAAAGTGATGCTGAAAACATGAAAAATTCGGAACCGAGCTCAAAATCAAGTAAACAACTATTCATGCATCAAGGTGACAAAGAGCCCTGTCACCATGGACTTGCCGAGCACATCGATGTCAGGTATCATCACATCCGTGATGAGGGCGAGTACGGAGAAGTCAAGCTGGAGTTCGCGGGACTGCGACAATGTTGAAGTACGTCATGTCAAAGGTGCTACCAGGATCACACCACAAAGACATCACGGCGGTCCTCAACATTTAAGCGTATTTGGATTAAGGGAATGTATTAAGGTTTATTGCTTAAGTTTATTTCTACCGGTTGCCGGTTACACTGACCGATCAGATTTAGCTACATCACGGTGAATCCACCACAAAGTTTATATATTCCAAAAATTACATTTAACGATCTGAAATTAAAATATTGAGGTTGCAACGAGTGTCATTTGGTGGCCAAAGAACAAAATTACAGCTTTACGTGACATAGCCGAAACGAGGATTTAGATACGACATGATGGTCGGGTACCAATACGTACGGCGTATTGCATCCGAAATAATTGGGATTAGACGTATCAAGCACAAGCATCAAATTCATGAAGAGTTGGCATTCACATCTTTGCACATGCAACATCCAAAGGTAATTAATGTAGGACAATCACTCAACAAAACAGTTGTGTACAATGCATCAAATATTTTTCCAAAATTCACGAGCGAGCAATAATTAGTATTACTTGTCCGTGCCTCCATTGATTCTGGTACAATGGAAACACGCATCTTTCCAATAAATTTTATTGGCTACCAGTCATCCACATCCTGCATAGTTATCGTTCTTGACCATAACACTACGATAGTATCAATAGTTATCTTTACAGGAGCCGCTACAAGTGAAGATCTCACACAAACTACAATACGATGTTTTCATGCTTTCATTTTCAGTATCCCACGGGAAGACTGGGCCGAGTTAAATTGCCGTGTGTGAATATTCTGACGCATTGATACTTCTTGCGATACTTTGGTATTATCACACGAATAATCCTACTCTAATATAATTTAATACTATTATGGAAGTATGCCTTTTCGAACCAATATTCCGCACCTGCTCTTTCGAAATTTGGAGAATTATGTATCTTATTCAGTCGACTGCAGAATATTAGCTCAAAGCCACTATATTTTACAAGACCACTGTGATTGTGTATATGAATATGAGCACTCGAGAAGAAGCTTTGAGCACGATAGAAGCCTTTACCGATGTGTGAGGGGGACTTTGAGTGGGGGAGAGGGGGGGGTTAGAAGTGGTTGAGGTAACAACTTTGCCTACTCTACACTGCATCCAATTATGTAGTACATAGAATCAATTTAGTTTATGTGCGTCTGATTACTGTACTCGCCTCATTAATAATGACGTGCCGAGATGACGTCATATAACCCTGACTATCCCGCGACTGGATGCTGCTAGAATCTTTTCTCGCAATAACATCCTAGTTAGATCCACTCTTATCGTCTTCTTTTTATTATTGTACATTCTTGCGCTCGCAGGTCGAGCTATCATAAATTGTTACTGGAACATGGATCCGGTATAACTTGGCGTACCACGTACACTAACCATTCACACCGAGAGCTGTGCACATGTTGATGGTCATCGGTTTCCTACCAGTATTGGTAACCGTGACCGGTCCAATCCGAACCGCCTGTTCTGCTTAGTATTTACGACGTAGTTCTTACGGTAAATACCATAGTTGATTAGACGCGTAGGATGATGAGACGCTTCACATGATTTATATGTGCATCACATATAAATCATGTAGTAAGTAGTAAGCCCCGATAATCAATCACTTTCCAATCGTCCATCTACCTCCAAGTGTCTTCTCCGGTCTTCCGAGTGGACTCCCAGCATCCCTCCCAGTTTCGGCCGTCAAGCTTCACACCTTTCAACAGGGTAAGAGCCCAAGCACGATGTCCTCTGCTCATGATGCCGCCACCAAGATCTCCATTGACAAGTTCGACGGCGACAACTACGCGACATGGAGCCGCTACATGCGTGGCGTGTTCCTGACCAAGTCGACGTGGCACGTGGTGAACCGGGAGACGTCACCGACCTACGCAGACGATCGCGCCATGGACGACTACGTCAAGGCCAACAACGTCGCTTTCGGATTGATGTTGCTGCACATGGACGCAGACTACCATCACATCGTCGATGACTGTGAAGAGGCGTGGGTCGCGTGGGCGCGTTTGAAGACACTGTACGGCGGATCTCAGAAGGCTGGGCACATCTACTTGAAGCGCCAGCTCTTCAGTATGGAGATGGCGGAAGGCGGCAATGTGTTGCATCATTGCAATGAGGTCCTCAACATCAGCGCAAAGCTGGCTAGCATCGGCGCCAAGATGTAGGACGAGGACGTTGCGATCTGCTTACTGCGCAGTCTGCCCAATAGTTTCGAGAACGTGGTTCTCAGCTTGGAGATGAACAGCGCAGAGCTTCGATTGCGGGCGTCGTGAGAGTGCTCACGAATGAGCACATCAAGAGACAAGGTGACAAGACGACATCGGTGAAGACTGAGGACGCGGCGAAGGCGTTCAGTGCCGAGCGTGAACCTCGCCAGTGTACATACTGCGGAAATTGGGGCACACGGCGGAGCGGTGCTGGACCAAGCAGAAGGACGAAAATCAAGGTGGAGCTCGACGCGGCGGCAACAATGCTCGTGGACGCGGAGCCAACAACGTTCAGTGGTGAACTAACAGCAACTACGACGACAACTACGATCGAGTTGCGTTCGCGGTTTCGCCGGAGGCTGGACTTTCGACGAGCAAGAATATGCCAGGGATGTGGGCAGTCGACAGCGGTGCGACGCATCACATCTGCAACGACAAGGCTAAGTTTGCAAGCCTGAATGAGCGAGAGGAAGGCGAACTATCAGTGGCTGATGGCAGCAAGGCTGCGATCAAGGGTGTGGGAACCATCATGGAACGGGTGGTTCTGCCCAATGGTGACGAACGCGACATCGAGATCAAGGACGCACTGTTCGTACCAAGTATGAGCAAGAATCTGCTTTCGGTGCCACAGATCAACAAGGGTGGCAGGTTCCAAGTCGTGTTCGATGGATCCAAGATGCAAGTGAAGCGCAAGAATTCCACACAAGTCGTGGCAACAGCGGATCTCGTCGATGGACTTTACTGGCTGCGGACTACTCAACGATCGGCGAATGCAGCAACACGCAATGGGACTATCGACTTGCATGCGCGCATGGGTCATGCACCCCTCGAAGTTCTGCGCAAGATGGTGGCCACCGGCATGATCAAGGACGCCAAGGCACCTCTCAACTCGACTGGTCCAAGTGTGTGTCGCAGTTGCCAGCAAGGAAAGATGGTCCAAAAATCATTCCCAACCAACCGTGACAAACGCCAATATGGTGTGTTCGAGTTGCTGCACTTTGACACCTGCGGGCCAATGGAACAAGTCTCGATCGGCGGCAGCAGATACTTACTGCTTGTGGTTGACGAAGCCAGCGGTTGCATGAAGGGCTTCTGTCTGCGGTCCAATTCTGAGAGTGAAGTCTGTATCAAGAACCACATTATCAAGATTCAGAATCAGTTCGGCACGAAGATCAAGTTTGTTCGGCACGATGGAGCGCATGAGTTTGCGACCAACTCGATCAAGACCTTCTACGAAGATCATGGTATCGAACAACAGGTCACGGTGCCGTATGCACACCAGACCAACGGCACCGCAGAACGCGCGATAAGGACCATCGTCACGATCGGACGGAGCTTGTTGCATCATGCAAAGCTGGAGAAGCGTTTCTGGGCTGAAGCGGCAATGACGGCGATCTACATCAAGAACCGCCTGCCTTCACCCAAGATCGACCACGAGACTCCGTTCGAGATCGTGTACAAGTCGAAACCAAGTGTCAAGTACATGCGCGTGTTTGGATGTCGGGCGTTTATCCTGACCCCAAGGGAGAAGCGATTGAAGTGGGACCCGAAGGCTCGTGAAGTGATGTTCATGGGCTACGAAGAAGCGTCAAAAGCTTATCGAGTGTACGACATTGAGGCGGGCCAAGTGGTGATCAGTCGTGACATCACCTTCGACGAATCGACTTTTGACTTTTCGATGGACCGACCAAGTGACGATGATGAAGATGCGGAGTTGGACCTCGACCTCCTAGCGATCAACGAGGACGACGTGCGTCAAACCGTCTACAAGCAGACTGGCAAGCGCAAGGGTGAAGCAAGACCCGGCATGTCACGTTCAGCTCGCCCTCGAACTGGGTTGGAACAAGCAAGTGCGCCGGAACACGTCTCCAACCGTCACCAGATACGACAATCAAGTGCTCCAGAAACGATGTCTGATGACGAAGAAGATGCGAGCGTCTACAATCAAGATGACGCCTCGACGCCTCCAACATTTTGGCGTGCCAGTGCAAACGCAGTGGAAGCAACGGACCTAGCAGAACCTGTGACTTTTCAAGACGCGATCAATGGTCCTGATCAAGCTCACTGGCGAAATGCTGTGAAGGCGGAACTCAAGTCGATGCATCTTCGTGGAGTTTTCCGTGCGGCAAAACTGCCAAGAGGCCAAGGCGCGATAGGCACCAAGTGGGTGTTCAAGATCAAGCGCAAAGCGGATGGATCGGTCGAGAAATACAAGGCGCGTCTCGTTGCCAAGGGCTTCAAGCAGAAGTACGACATCGACTACACAGAGACGTTCTCGCCCGTGGTCAAGTACGTGACACTGCGTATGGTGATCGCGATCACCAAGTATTTCGACTGGCCACTGGACCAAGTCGATGTGGTGACAGCCTTTCTCTACGGAGTGATGAAGGAGAAGGTGTACTGCGTGATACCAGAAGACTTCGAGATGGATGGCGACTTCGACTGTCTCGAGTTGGTGAAGGCGATCTACGGTCTCAAGAAAGCTTCACGTGTGTGGAACGAGACTTTCGACGAGTTCGTATGCTTTATCGGTTTCGAAGTGTCGGCGTTCGACCCATGTCTCTACATCAAGGTTGTCGACGGTCACTGTGTGCTCGTGCTGGTCTACGTGGATGACGTGTTGGTCACCGGCAGCTCGCTCGAGTTGATTGCGCAGACGAAGGCCGACCTCAAGACGCGTTTCGAGATGACCGACAGTGGCAAGTGTACTTTTGTACTGGGCATCGAACAGGTGGACGAACCGTATGGCAGCGTGACGATGTGCCAGCGACGGTATTTCAACGACATCCTCAAGCGCTTCGGCATGGATGAGTGCAAGGCCACAGCAAGTCCGGTCGACTTGAGCACTCGGCTTGTCGCAAGCAGCGAAGCGGCCAAGATCGACGTTCCGTTTCGTGAAGCTGTGGGAGCTTTGATGCACTTGACGACTGCGACGCGCCCGGACATTGCGTATGCTGTGGGGTACGTCTCGCGCTTCATGGAGAATCCGCAGCAAGAATATTGGACGGCGGTGAAGCGCATCTTTCGTTACCTGCAAGGGACCAAGTCGCACGGACTCCGCTTCCAGCCAAGCGACAAGATCGACTTTCGTGGCTAGTCGGACGCGGACTGGGCCGGCGACCACGCTGATCGCAAGTCGACTTCGGGTTACACTTTCATGCTGATGGGTGCTCCTGTGAGTTGGGGAATCAAGAAGCAGTCAAGTGTGTCGCTGTCGACGAGTGAAGCGGAATACATCGCACTGAGTCTGGCCATCCAGGAAGGCAAGTGGGTGCATCGCCTGCTATGCGAGATTTTGGCGGCCGCAAACGAACCAGGACCGGACCTCGTCATCCGTGAAGACAACCAGTCGTACATCGAGATGACGAAGAATCCAGTGAATCATGGCCGCGCCAAGCACATCGACATCAAGTACCATCACATCCGTGATGAGGTCAAGCGCGGTGAAGTGCAGCTCGAGTATTGCGAGACTTCCGTGATGATGGCGGACATCATGACCAAGGGACTTTCTGGACCTCGCCACGAGGACCTGACGACGGCTCTCGGCATTCGTGCGAGTTCGGATTGAGGGGGCGTGTTGACGGTCATCAGGTTCCTACCAGTATTGGTAACCGTGACCGATCCGAACCGAACCGCCTGTTCAGCTTAGTATTTACGACGTAGATCTTACGGTAATTACCATAGTTGATTAGACGCGTAGGATAATGAGACGCTTCACATGATTAATATGTGCACCACATATAAATCATGTGGTAAGTAGTAAGCCCCGATAATCAATAACTTTCGAATTCTCCTTCTGTCGAGCAAGTCTTCTCTGCTCCGCTCCTCAAGCCTCTTCGCTCTCTCCGGTCTCTTCCGGTCTTCTCGTCACTCCCGTGCCATACAATCAACAGGTCATGAGCCCAAGTGCAATGTCTTCTGCCGTCCACGCATCCTCCAACGCCCTCATCGATAAGTTCGATGGGGACAACTATTCGACCTGGAGTCGATACATGCGTGGCGTGTTCCTGACAAAGTCAGTGTGGCATGCTGTCAAACGGGAGAGCTCCCCGACGTTCGTGGACCCTCGAGCGCAGGACGACTACGTCAAGGCCAACAACATCGCGTTTGGAACGATGTTGCTGCACATGGGTGCGGATTACCACTATGTGGTCGACAACTGCGAGGAAGCGTGGGTTGCGTGGCAGAGCCTGAAGGTGCTGTACGGTGGATCCCAGAAAGCGGGAAGGATCTACCTCAAGCGTCAACTCTTCAGCATGAAGATGGAAGAAGGCGCCAACGTCATGCATCACTGCAACGAGGTCCTGAACATCTCTGCCAAGCTTAGCAGCATCGGTGCGAAGATGGAGGACGAGGACGTCGCAATTTGCCTGCTGCTCAGCCTCCCTAAGAGTTTTGAGAACGTTGTTTTAAACTTGGAGATGAGAAGCGCAGAGCTTCGTACCCAAGATGTGGTGAAGGTGCTCACGAATGATCATGCCAAATGCCAAGGGGAGAAGTTGACAACAACAGCGACGATGGTCAAGACTGAAGATGCAGCCAAGGCCTTCAACACTGAGCGTGAGCCATACAAGTGCACCTACTGTCGAAAGTTGGGACACACCGTGGATCGCTGTTGGACCAAGCAGATGAATGAAAGTCGAGGAGCCCGACGCGGCAGCAATGGTCGTAGACGCGGGGCGAACAATGTCCAGTGGGGACACTATCGTGATGAAGGCAGCGAATACGATCAAGTAGCGTTTGCAGTTTCGCTAGAGTGTGGACTCTCAGCGAAGAAGGACGTGTCCGGAATGTGGGCCGTCGACAGTGGTGCAACACACCACATATGCCACGACAAGACCAAGTTTGCAAGACTGAACAAGCGCAACGACGGTGAAATCTTGGTGGCGGATGGCAACAAAGTGACCATAAAGGGTGTTGGAACTATCTTTGAAAAGTTAGTTCTGGCCGACGGTGAAGGCGCGAAATTGAGATCAAGAACGTGCTTTACGTACCAAGCATGAGCAAGAATCTACTTTCGGTACCGCAGATCAACAAGCACAGCAAGTTTCAAGTCGTGTTCGACGGGACCAAGATGTTTGCTGCTCGCAAAGGATCCCAACAAGTGGTGGCAACAGCAGATCTTGTGGATGGCCTTTACTGGCTTCACACCGCTCATCGATCGGCCAATGCGACAACAAACGGATGCAACGGTGTCGACTTACATGCGCGGATGGGACACGCTCCAGCTGATGTGCTTCGCAAAATGGTGGCCACGAACATGATCAAGGATGTGAAGGTACCTCTCACGTCAAGTGGATCAAGCGCATGCCGAGGATGTCAAAAAGGGAAAATGGTCCAAAATCCATTCCCGCGCAACCAGGACAAGCGCGGATACGACACCTTCGAGCTACTTCACGTCGATATCTGCGGACCCATGGAGATGAATTCTTTGGGTGGCAGAAAGCATCTACTGCTGATCGTTGACGAAGCCAGTGGATGCATGAAGGGCTTCTGTCTACGTGTGAATTCGTAGAGTGAAAACTACATCACACGATACATCAAGATGGTGCAAGCACAGTTTGGCAAGAAGGTCAAGCTCGTCCGACACGACGGAGCCCGCGAGTTCGCAACCAACTCGCTTCAAGAATTCTACGAAGAAGCATCCAAAGCGTATCGCGTTTATGACATCGAGGCGGGGCAGGTGGTCATCAGTCGCGATGTCAACTTTGACGAGTCCGCCTTTGGACTTTCGCCGCCAACCACCACTGAAGACGCCAATGACATTGACTTCGACTCCCTCGATCTGGATGATGAAGCGCCAGGTCAAGCGCAGTACAAGCAAACAGGCAAGCGCAAGGGTCGTCCCCATGATGAAGGAGTACCAGCTCCACCCACGCGCACAGTGCGTCAACGACCTGGACTAGAAGAATCAAGTGCGCCAGACAATCACACGACCCAACAAGAAGAAGATGAAGAAACAAAGAATGCTGATGCATCGACTCCGCCTGTGTTTTGGCGTGCGAGTGCGAACGCCATCGAAACAGCAGTGGACTTATCCGAGCCGTCGACTTTTGAAGCTGCGGTGAGCGGTCCTGATCAAGTGCATTGGCGCGAAGCTATCCGTGCGGAACTTGAGTCGATGCGACTTCGTGAAGTGTTCCGCGCAGCCAAGCTACCCAAAGGACATCGCGCCATTGACACGAAGTGGGTCTTCAAGATCAAGCGCAAAGCAGACGGATCAATTGACAAGTACAAGGCGCGTCTTGTGGCAAGGGTTTCAAGCAACAATATGGTATCGACTACACGGAAACATTCTCGCCCGTCGTCAAGTACGTGACGCTGTGCATGGTGATTGCAGTCGCCAAGTATTTCGGATGGACCATCGACCAACTCGACGTGGTGGCGGCATTCCTGTATGGTGTAATGAAGGAACAAGTGTTCTGCGTCATCCCTGAAGGCGTGGAATTGGAGGGCTCCTTCGATTGTCTGGAGTTGGTGAAGGCATTCTACGGACTAAAACAAGCGTCGCGCGTATGGAACGAAACGTTTGACAAGTTCGTGTGTGCTATTGGATTCCAAGCGTCAAGCCTCGACCCGTGTCTCTACATAAGGATCGTGGAAGGGCAATGCGTACTGCTGCTGGTGTATGTGGATGACATGTTGATCACCGGTAGCTCATGCCAGCTAATTGCACGCACCAAGACCGACCTGAAGACACGATTCGGATGACTGACAGCGGCAAGTGTGCATTTGTGCTTGGAATCGAGCTTTTGGACGGCGCAGATGGAAGTGTGACACTATTCCAGCGTCGGTATGTAGATGACATACTCAAGCGCTTTGACATGGATGATTGCAAGGCCGTCGCAAGTCCAGTCGACATGAGCTCTCGACTTGTTTCAAGCGATGCAGCCACCAAGGTCGGTGCTCCTTTTTGCAAAGCTGTTGGTGCGTTGATGCACCTGACCACTGCAACGCGCCCGAATATTGCGTTCGCCGTGGGCTATGTGTCGCGATTCATAGAACCCCCAAGAAGAACACTAAGTTGCAGTTAAGCGCATCTTCCGCTACCTACAAGGCACCAAGATGCACAGAATCTGCTACAAGCCAAATGCGAAGATCGACTTTCGTGGATACTCGGATGCAGACTGGGCCGGTGACCTCGCTGATCGCAAGTCGACGTCTGGTTACGTATTCATGCTTTTGGGTGCGCCAGTGAGTTGGGGCAGCAAGAAACAGCCAAGTGTTTCGTTGTCCACGAGTGAAGCCGAATACATCGCACTCAGCTTGGCGATATAAGAGGGCAAGTGGATTCATCGTCTGCTTTGTGAGATCATGATGGCTGCCAATGAAGAAGGACCGGAACTCAAGATCCATGAAGAAAATCTGTCGTGTATCACGATGACGAAGAATCCAGTGAATCATGGCCGCGCCAAGCACATTGACATCAAGTATCATCACATCCGTGATGAGGTCAAGCGCGGTGAAGTGAAGCTCAAGTACTGTGAAACTGCGGTGATGTTAGCGGACATCACGACGAAGGGAATTCACGGGCCACGCCACAAGGAGATGACGACGGCTCTCGGCATTCGTGCGTGTTCGCATTGAGGGGGCGTGTTGACGGTCATCGGTTTCCTACCATTGTTGGTAACCGTGACCGATCCGAACCGAACCGCCTGTTCTGCTTAGTGTTTACGACGTAGTTCTTACGGTAATTACCATAGTTGATTAGACGCGTAGGATGATGAGACGCTTCACATGATTAATATGTGCACCACATATAAATCATGTGGTAAGTAGTAAGCCCCGATAATCAATCACTTTCGAATTATCCTTCTGCCTAGCAAGTCTTCTCTGCTCCGCTCCTCAAGCCTCTTCGATCTCTCCGGTCTCTTCCGGTCTTCTCGTCACCCCCGTGCCATACCATCAACAGTGTCGTCGCCAAAACGTCGACCAAGGACTCGGGATACATCAAGTCAAGTAATGACGAGCGTCAAACATCGTCCAATGAGCAAAACGGTGACCCGACACGTCCAAATTTTTGGTTTAAAGTGCCAACTCAGTAGGAGCAATTGACATGGTGGAACTATTAAAGTTTTAAGAAGTACTCAACTGGCAAACAATTTCACTCGCGAAATGCTGTTAAGGCCGAGCTTAAGTCGATGCGCCTGTGTAAAGTGTTTCAAGCTGAGAAATTATTAAGTGGTCAACGTACAATTGGCATCAAGTGGATCTAATGAACAAACGTGAGTAGACGGTGCGATTGAAGATTACAAGGCGCGCCTAGTCGCCAAGGGTTTAAAGCAAAATCATGGCATGGACTACACTGATAAATTTTTAGACAAAGGTCAAGTACGTGATACTACGCATGGTATTTGCAATCACCAAGTACCTCAATTGGCCTCTCGATCATCTCGACGTGGTAAAGGCTTTGCTATACAAAGTTATGAGGGAAAAAGCCTACTGTCTTAGTACTGAAGGAGTTGACTTTGTAGTTGACGTTGACTGTGCCGAAGTGGTAAAGCAATCTACGGCCTCAAGCAGTCGTGAATAATATTAAATAGCTTTTGGTGAGTTTTTGTGCTCCATCGGCTTCCAAATTTCTAACTCTGACACATTCCTCTAAATAAAGGTTCTGGATGGTCACTGCTTTCTAGTCTTGGTCTACATAGGTGACGTATTGATGACCAGCAGCTTTCTGGAATTGATCGCACAAACGGAGAACTACATCAAGGACGCTTAGAGATTACGGACGATGTGGAAAAGTCGAAAATAGATTGATACATCAATCGTGGGCCATTGAATTAAGTTCCACTAAGAGTAGAATGCGGTCCAGATCTCCAGTGGAACTTTATGAATTGTGCGACACGGCGGATCGGATAATTTTAAGTCCTGTATGTCTACGGTCCATATTCCATTTTAGATGAAAGTCTTAACAGAAAAACGACGTTGCCACGATACTAAATGGAATGTGACCGATGATGATACAAACAATTCGGGGACAGCTATGTGTTTGCTTAAGGCAGTTTATGGTTGATAAATGGAGTTATCTGGTAGGCAAAGGCATTCATAGTTTAATTCGGGTGAAGTGATATAGAACAAGGTAAATTTTATGCAGGATAAGGCAGACAATGGCTGAAATCTAAGAAATGACACTGAAAATAAGGAGAGATTCGATGTCAATACGAGAAATTGAAATTTACCACATCCATGGGGTGTGAATTGGATAATGTCACTAAGAAAATACTGGTGTCGATTTGGGTATAAGAGTGTGTCATGTCCGCTGGATGTCGATCTGCATAATTTTCTTGGGAAGTGTTGAAAGGTGTGAAGCTTGACGACCGAAACTGGGAGGGATGCTGGGAGTCCACTCGGAAGACCGCAGAAGACACTTGGGGGGTAGATGGAAGATTGTAAAGTGATTGATTTTCGGGGCTTACTACTTACTACATGATTTAAATGTGGTGCACATATAAATCATGTGAAGCGTCTCATCATCCTACGCGTCTAATCAACTATGGTAATTACCGTAAGAACTACGTCGTAAATACTAAGCTGAACAGGCGGTTCGGATTGGACCGGTCACGATTACCAATACTGGTAGGAAACCGATGACCGTCAACACGCCCTCTCAATCCGAACTCGCACGAATGCCGAGAGCCGTCGTCAAGTCCTTGTGGCGAGGTCCAGAAAGTCCCTTGGTCATGATGTCCGCCATCATCACGGAAGTCTCGCAATACTCGAGCTGCACTTCACCGCGCTTGACCTCATCACGGATGTGATGGTACTTGATGCCGATGTGCTTGGCGCGGCCATGATTCACTGGATTCTTCGTCATCTCGATGCACGACTGGTTGTCTTCACGGATGACGAGGTCCGGTCCTGGTTCGTTTGCGGCCGCCAAAATCTCGCATAGCAGGCGATGCACCCACTTGCCTTCCTGGATGGCCAGACTCAGTGCGATGTATTCCGCTTCACTCGTCGACAGCGACGCACTTGACTGCTTCTTGCTTCCCCAACTCACAGGAGCACCCATCAGCATGAAAGTGTAACCCGAAGTCGACTTGCGATCAGCGTGGTCGCCGGCCCAGTCCGCGTCCGAGTAGCCACGAAAGTCGATCTTGTCGCTTGGCTGGAAGCGGAGTCCGTGCGACTTGGTCCCTTGCAAGTAACGAAAGATGCGCTTCACCGCCGTCCAATGTTCTTGCTGCGGATTCTCCATGAAGCGCGAGACGTAACCCACAGCATACGCAATGTCCGGGCGCGTCGCAGTCGTCAAGTGCATCAAAGCTCCCACAGCTTCACGAAACGGAACGTCGATCTTGGCCGCTTCGCTGCTTGCGACAAGCCGAGTGCTCAAGTCGACCGGAATTGCTGTGGCCTTGCACTCATCCATGCCGAAGCGCTTGAGGATGTCGTTGACATACCGTCGCTGGCACATCGTCACGCTGCCATCCGATTCGTCCACCTGTTCGATGCCCAGTACAAAAGTACACTTGCCACTGTCGGTCATCTCGAAACGCGTCTTGAGGTCGGCCTTCGTCTGCGCAATCAACTCGAGCGAGCTGCCGGTGACCAACACGTCATCCACGTAGACCAGCACGAGCACACAGTGACCGTCGACAACCTTGATGTAGAGACATGGGTCGAACGCCGACACTTCGAAACCGATAGAGCATACGAACTCGTCGAAAGTCTCGTTCCACACACGTGAAGCTTTCTTGAGACCGTAGATCGCCTTCACCAACTCGAGACAGTCGAAGTCGCCATCCATCTCGAAGTCTTCTGGTATCACGCAGTACACCTTCTCCTTCATCACTCCGTAGAGAAAGGCTGTCACCACATCGACTTGGTCCAGTGGCCAGTCGAAATACTTGGTGATCGCGATCACCATACGCAGTGTCACGTACTTGACCACGGGCGAGAACGTCTCTGTGTAGTCGATGTCGTACTTCTGCTTGAAGCCCTTGGCAACGAGACGCGCCTTGTATTTCTCGACCGATCCATCCGGTTTGCGCTTGATCTTGAACACCCACTTGGTGCCTATCGCGCCTTGGCCTCTTGGCAGTTTTGCCGCACGGAAAACTCCACGAAGATGCATCGACTTGAGTTCCGCCTTCACAGCATTTCGCCAGTGAGCTTGATCAGGACCATTGATCGCGTCTTGAAAAGTCACAGGTTCTGCTAGGTCCGTTGCTTCCACTGCGTTTGCACTGGCACGCCAAAATGTTGGAGGCGTCGAGGCGTCATCTTGATTGTAGACGCTCGCATCTTCTTCGTCATCAGACATCGTTTCTGGAGCACTTGATTGTCGTTTCTGGTGACGGTTGGAGACGTGTTCCGGCGCACTTGCTTGTTCCAACCCAGTTCGAGGGCGAGCTGAACGTGACATGCCGGGTCTTGCTTCACTCTTGCGCTTGCCAGTCTGCTTGTAGACGGTTTGACGCACGTCGTCCTCGTTGATCGCTAGGAGGTCGAGGTCCAACTCCGCATCTTCATCATCGTCACTTGGTCGGTCCATCGAAAAGTCAAAAGTCGATTCGTCGAAGGTGATGTCACGACTGATCACCACTTGGCCCGCCTCAATGTCGTACACTCGATAAGCTTTTGACGCTTCTTCGTAGCCCATGAACATCCCTTCACGAGCCTTCGGGTCCCACTTCAATCGCTTCTCCCTTGGGGTCAGGATAAACGCCCGACATCCAAACACGCGCATGTGCTTGACACTTGGTTTCGACTTGTACACGATCTCGAACGGAGTCTCGTGGTCGATCTTGGGTGAAGGCAGGCGGTTCTTGATGTAGATCGCCGTCATTGCCGCTTCAGCCCAGAAACGCTTCTCCAGCTTTGCATGATGCAACAAGCTCCGTCCGATCGTGACGATGGTCCTTATCGCGCGTTCTGCGGTGCCGTTGGTCTGGTGTGCATACGGCACCGTGACCTGTTGTTCGATACCATGATCTTCGTAGAAGGTCTTGATCGAGTTGGTCGCAAACTCATGCGCTCCATCGTGCTGAACAAACTTGATCTTCGTGCCGAACTGATTCTGAATCTTGATAATGTGGTTCTTGATACAGACTTCACTCTCAGAATTGGACCGCAGACAGAAGCCCTTCATGCAACCGCTGGCTTCGTCAACCACAAGCAGTAAGTATCTGCTGCCGCCGATCGAGACTTGTTCCATTGGCCCGCAGGTGTCAAAGTGCAGCAACTCGAACACACCATATTGGCGTTTGTCACGGTTGGTTGGGAATGGTTTTTGGACCATCTTTCCTTGCTGGTAACCGCGACACACACTTGGACCAGTCGAGTTGAGAGGTGTCTTTGCGTCCTTGATCATGCCGGTGACCACCATCTTGCGCAGAACTTCGAGGGGTGCATGACCCATGCGCGCATGCAAGTCGATAGTCCCATTGCGTGTTGCTGCATTCGCCGATCGTTGAGTAGTCCGCAGCCAGTAAAGTCCATCGACGAGATCCGCTGTTGCCACGACTTGTGTGGAATTCTTGCGCTTCACTTGCATCTTGGATCCATCGAACACGACTTGGAACCTGCCACCCTTGTTGATCTGTGGCACCGAAAGCAGATTCTTGCTCATACTTGGTACG